CAGCTTCCCAAGCTTTTGTCGGTCCTGCAAACGGAAGAAAGGAAATGTACTGAGAGGAGCGGCGTTAGGTCGATTCCGTAATTATCGGACAGAATTGTTTATTGAATAGGTGCTGATATTGAACTATACCCGGAATGTACTAGGGAAAATATCAGTGCAATCAACAATGTATCAGTAGTTAACGCGATATATGATCCGTATTGAAATATCGCTCAGTATCGCCTAATAAATATCTTAGCTTAGTTAAAATATCATTTTTTGAAAGAATGAACAAATGCATAATGCTTTCGGATATTCGTTCGAAAGTATTGATAACGATGTTTCAAAGAAAAATTCTATATATAGTTTGTTTTTAAGCACCAAAGGTCTAATAATAAACTGAATGGCTCTTTGACAAGGTCGTTGCTGTTGCTATTTCAGATACCTGTGCTTTACCTTTTATTTTGTAAATATTGAAAGATTACCACCCAAATACACAGGCATGCAGGAGAAACAACTTTGCTTTAAACTAGAAATAGCTTTACGACGAAGAATGAAGTCATAAAGATTTGGAACCCCAATGTGCGTTACATCCGGTTAAATGTGAAAATGTCGAAACTTTAGCCTGTTCTGCGCCCCAAAATCAACTAGAACCGTGACTGTTCGTCTAACCGATAAAAGTAAGAAATTGGTTTATTTATAGCCAAAAATATGTCAGTTTCCGATATGATTTTTGTGTATCCCACAGTTACCTTTCTTAAAAAAAATGATGTAAGGAAGAAATTTAGCCTAAGCTGAATTTTTAAGCCGCATTTGCACGCACGATCATTAAGATAAACATGATGGGGGTAAGGAGTAAGGAGGCTATGACAGGTTGTTTATCCAGTTCTCTGTCCACCGCGCTAACTCGCGAAAACCTGGCCGATTGAAAAGACAGAAGTGAACAAATGAACAATCTGAATATGTACATATACATACGAGATAAATTAGAGTAAACTAAAACCTCCAAGTACCCTTTCACGGGTTTCCCAGAACCTTACCGATGACATCATTAAAGCAGAACTGTTAATCAAGTTATTAAACAACAAGCAAGTTGTAGTTTTGGTCGATTACACTTCCAAATATTCCTAAAACAGTCTTCCGACTAGATCCGGCTCGAGGTTATCTATCTTGTATACTACCAGTAAAAGAACTCATCCAAAGAAAGAGGGACAATGGTTTTATAGTAAATCTCTTTTCGTGATCAGTACTGCATCCTTTTGCATTGCACATTTGAATTGTTTTCCCTTATGGCCCGATATTGAATTATTTTGCATTACTTATTACATATGCATGTATATCCGAGCTTATTAATTATTTCATTTACAGTTTCGAACATCTCTTGCAATCCTTGGCTGTGATCTGACTTTGCATACGTACGTATCTCTGTCTATGGGGGAAAACGCGAACGCAAAAACATGTTTTGGGGTAATAGTCAAGTCCGAGCCCGAGCAAGTAGCGTCGATCCGCCGGGGACGACATAGTAAGGCGACACAGTCGACGTCTGACCGGAATGCAGGCATGGAAAACTAGTTGTTATTGTCGACGCTGCAATGCTGCGTTTCTTTTTTGGCATCGATGCAGAGGCAACTGAAGGAAAAACAACAACAGCAACAACAACAGCACACTTGAATTAACAACAGGTGAATGCGAATCCAAGAAATCAATAAAAATAAAACAAGAAAGGTGAGCTAGGAGGCGGCTAGGGGAGACAAGGCAGTTGCTGCTACTAAGCTAAGGAAACACATCTGCAATCTGCTATCTAGCCGGTTTTTAGCTGTTTGAATTTCTTTGTCTCTTTAAAGAAGAAAACTTTTTTCGATCCAGCTCCGGATCGCTTAACCGAACTGGAGGTTCCGGTTTTTTATACTAAACTCTGTGGACTACACTTGTCCGCCACTTGACTTTTTGTATCACTCGGTACGTATCGAGAAAACTATATAAGATCACCAAAATAATCTAGATCAGCATTATGTTAGTGTTAAATATCCATTGTGTATGTTGTACATGTTTCTCCCTCTGTCCGAATGAACTCTATGGTGTTGAAAACTTTGATGATATATCTACATATATCAAACGTCCTATATAATATATTACTTTTATTGGTATCAAGTATAAATCGTACTATAATAATAATTATACTACTTCCCTTTTAAACCCCTGCAGGGTATTATAATGAACTGAAAATCGTTCATTGACCCTCCCTTAATCAACAGTAGAGGCGATGTAGTTATGTCCTTCCACGTAAATAGTATATAAAATAGAAGACAGGAAGCTAACTTCGGCACGCCAAAGTTTGTATATCATTGCAGATTGAAATTTGATCATTAAAAATGAATTAAGGTGTCATTTTCCTGATCAGAATGAACAGACGAGTCGATCTAGCCATGCCCACCTTTCCGGCTGTCCGTTTCTAAGCAAACTAGGCTCTCAGTTTTTAAAATCTGAATACTTTATCATATAGCTGCCTCAGAATCGATCGCGAAATTAATACATTTAAAAATTATAACTTTTTAAGTTCTCAACTAATTCTTATAAATTTCGAGTTATGTACATTTTGTTTTATTTTAAAAGTTCGGTTTTAATTTTATAAAAATCTAATGACTTTATCATATTGCTGCCATAAAAACCTTCTTAAGATATGGAGGAAAATGACAAATTGGGAATTTAAAAATGTGTATATGTATTTTAAGTATAGGTGACTGTAATGAAAGTAGACAGTTCTTTGATGATTATGAATCATAAATATATTATTAATGATCTAATTACAATCTGCAAGGGTAAACAAACTTCGGCGTTCTTCCTTTCTTGTTTTCTAATAATTTCGAGATTGTTCATATGAAAGTTGTCAGATTTTCTTGACTACTTTGCAAAGAAACGGACAGACGAACGTGGCTAGATCGTCTCGACTGTTGATGTTGATATAATAGTCAGATTTTCATGAAATTAAAACCGAAATTTTGGAACAATATAAAGCGGGTATACCTCAAATTTAATGAAAATCTGTTGGAAACTGGAAAAGTGATTATTTTTTTTAAATTCCCGATCGTTCCTATGTCCGATTTTCATTTGATCAAAATCCGTTTTAAACTGGAAAAAGTAAAATGTTCCGATCGTTTGTATGGCAGCTATTTGATATAGTAGTCCGATCGGGCCCGTTCCGACATGTTTAAAGAAGACTAAATACAAAGCTTCATTGAGATAGCTTCAAAACTGGATAGATCGACCCGGCTGTTGATGCTGATCAAGAATATAAATACATATATACTTTTTATGATTGAAGGTGCCTCGTTCACTGCGTTGCAAACTTCTGACTGAAATTATAATACCCTGCAGGGGTATAATAACGAAATCAGCTTTCGTCTTTTTCAATGCACATACACATACATATGTATGTACATAAGTTGTTTTCCAAATAATGTAAGGGTTAAGTACATTGATCAATCGTTAAAGCTCCAGAAGGCGAGCAAATGTCATTGTTTTCATGAAAGATTTTCTTTTTTTGTTTCGTTTGTGAACTCAAATTCAAGGGAAACAATCGCATCGTCTGTTGGAATGAAAAGAGAATGAACGCATTAAAGAATGGATTTCAAACAGAAGATCGGCTTCTGTGCTCGAATCTAATATTTGGCCTGATACTCTTTACTGATCCGTGGCCTATGTATCTGATAAGAAATGCCTTTTCTTAAATTTCTTACATATGGTAAATGACAAGAATACCTGGATAGAAAATCAAGTATATTTCTAATAATATCAATGATCTATATGATCCATAAATGCCAAAATTCGCGATTATTAATCATGATTTCTAAGAATAGATTAAAGTAATTTTACAAACACAATATTATCTTTTACACTAATACTCTGAAAAGAAAATACAAGAAGACACAAAGAAAAAAATAAAATAACTTCCAGCTCAAGTCAACGACTTCCACTGAGGATTCGTACGTCGCCGAGTGATGTGCTCTCCCAGTATCCGTAACCAAACAAAACAAGGGGAAACCCGCTTTGCCCCGCGTTTTCTGTGCTCTTATGCCATGTTTATGCGCGGACGTCATCTGCAGAAAATATAATATACAATAAAATTCGTTAGTAATTAGTAGTAGTGTTTTCACGTGATCAATATCAGACTAGCATGCATATACAAATGTATTATAGGAGTGATCAATATACATACATGTCTAAAATGTAAGTGTATCAAGGAAGAAAGATAACTTCCGCGCACTAAAGTTTGTATACCCTTTCATTATTAAACATATTTATATTAAAAACATCATCTCATATACTTGATATATTTTCAGTTAAGCATTCCCAGTTTTGCATTTTCCTCTAAACTTAACGATCGTTTCTATAGCAGCTTTGTAAATGATATAGTCGTCTGATTATATTTTTAAACATCACATTGCATTATACTTAGTTCTGAATCGTTTTTATTAAAGCAATATGATATGGTAGCACTAGTTTCCTAAAATCAAAATCAAAATGTTCGACTAGCCTGCATGGCTAGAATGTTTCGGCTGATTAAGCTGCAAACTTCTGATTCAAAATTTAATACCAAGCTATGGTATAAAAATAGTCTATGTGATCTCATATTATTATTATTTATTACATATTCACTTAAATAATACTAATAAAAAAAAAATAAATAATAATAATAATTATAATAATAAAAATAACAATAATACAAATCAAAAAAAAAAATAATAATAATAATAATAATCATAATAATCATAATAATCATAATAATCATAATAATCATAATAATCATAATAATCATAATAATCATAATAATCATAATAATCATAATAATCATAATAATCATAATAATCATAATAATCATAATAATCATAATAATAATAATAATAATAAAATTAATAATAATAATAACAAAAATAATAATAATAAGAATAATAAAAATAATAATAATAAAAAGAATAATAAAAAAAATAATAATAATAAGAATACTAATAATAATAAGAGTAATAATAATAATAGTAACAATAACGATAATAATAACTCCTTGGATTTCACGGAATCGGGCATCGCATAAACGAATACCAGTGGAGACTCGACTTTAGCCCCGGTCCTGGTCTCAACCTAGTTGCTGAATCGTCACACGCTCGACTCTCTCAGGCAAGTGTAACACATACATAACACACAGATATACATACATACAAATGCGATTGCAAATCATTCCTCGTTTACCAACACATTACAGTCGAGTCTCTTGCTTTTCGATTTCTTTGCTCGGACATTTATTATCATTTTGACAAAAATATAGTAGTTTGGTAATGCACTTACAATGGTAGTTTTAGGTAAAGCTATTCCTTCCGTATGTATGTACGCACAATACCACCTGCAAAGTGTACAACCTTGCTTACAAGTTAAGAGCGATGTGAGGGATTCTTTTAGAAATCCTACACTTCCTCAAGTTACGTCCCATTCTCAAGCATCTATGTACGTACATATGTACGTACGAATGAATGTATGTATGTATGTTTACACAAATAATGGCTAGGCATGTGCCTGGCATATGTGACTCAGATGTTTGGTTTATAAGCTGCATATTACCTTATTGTCAATAGTTTCATAAGTCTTTTGTACTTCCAAGACGTGTGGTCCCTGAGGTTTGCTGTATAAAACTGGAGAGCTTGTGATATTTAACCCCATTATCTTCTGGTTTCCGACTCTCGGTGGTCAATGCTTATTAAAGTCGAAGGACCTATAAGAAACCTCATGCATATTAAATTTATTTATTACTTGAGTGGCTAACCTTTCTTGAAATTCAATAGCAATAAAAATAACCATATGGAGGCAAGGGACAAATGACCCCAAAGAATACTAAATTTGGAATGAAATTGCACACAATAACTTTGAAAGGCTCAAAAAAGCTAAGCAATATCAATAGATAATTTTACAAACGAACCTATTAATAATTCATGACAGTAAGTACATTTTCGTTAAAGCCCTCAAAGTGGAGAATTTGATGGGGAACTGTTAATGCCGTTTCTTAACTCATTTAACTTACTAATCTGTTGAAGGATTTACCCTATAATAAAACAGGAATTACAAATATTACAATTTAAATTATATATATTTGGGTTAGAAGAAACGAAGTAATGTCTCCCATAATGTACCATTCATCAGTAATTCATCGGCCGAGCCTACCTTCGTAATTGTATCGTGGACACGTTGATGACAGTGGCCTTTTGATGACATGTGGTACTGCAGGGTACTTTCATTACAGTCACAAATACTTATTATGTTTATAGTATGTACATATATGCATATGATATAGTAATCCTATTTTTATAAGAGTAAAACAAAGTACTAATTGAATATATCTTAAATTTGATAAAAATACATATGTTGAAAACTGAAAATGTTATACTTTCTTTGTTTTCTAACAAATTTCGGGTCGTTTCTATGGCAGCTAAATGATATAGTGCTCCGATCTGGCCCGTTCTGACTTATATTCTGTAGAGAGTATACAGAAGCCTACTGCAAAGTTTCACTAAGATAGCTTTTAAAACTAAGAGACTAGTCGAAACGGATAGACTGTCAGGGCTAGATCGACCCGGCTGCTGATGCTGATCAAGAATATATACATATGTACATTTATACTTTATTCGGTCGAGGACGACTCCTTCACTTTTGACTGAAATTATAATACCTTGCATACCTTATATAAAATAAATGTTTTTAACACAATTTATGTAAGTAGAGTTTGTGTTGAGAACCTATACAAGAGTTTTTTACTGCTCCCAAAGCTATAGGTTTTTACCTTTTGAGTGGTACTCGCGCTATATAGGATACAAAAACTTGATTCCAAAGCATGCTTGCATTTACTACCAGTAAGAGTATTAAAACTTATAAGTAACACTGCCTTAGTTTGGTCCATAGCCCCCAAAATACTCACAGTTTCCCCCAAGCGGATTAGCAGGCAGCGTAGACTAAGGACAATCTAAAGACGTGTGAGCCCGAGATGATGATGCGTCGGGGTTATGTCCAGCAAATCAGTATGGTATTAGGTCTTAAAAGCTCCTTGAGGAAATATCATAAGCCACGACGAAATTTCATTGCATTTATGTACGTGTTGCTCCAAGTTGATGTAATAATAAGTACGTACAACAGATAATGATGGTAAACCAGACGAGACTGACTGACTAATAATAAGGGTGGGTTCTTAGTATTGTGTGGACTTATCCGAAAATGGGGAGCGACAAGTGTAATAATCACCATGTGAGGTTTATTGTCCCTTGACCCCTAAAAGCTTAACATTTTGCCCTGACAAGTTTTAATATGTTCAATCCAAAGTTATTTGTCGCAAAAATATGCGTGTATAGATACATTATGTATATTTTAGCGCTGAAAAATCGATATTCTTCTGTTTGATATATTAAGAGGGGATATCTCCTAAGCTTCACTGGCTTTGCGAATCCACTTTGTGTAATCATACCCAGAATTTATGGAACACTAAAATTTAGCAGGACGGAAGGCAAAAGAAATCGTTGTCAAATGTTGGGCAACACCCGAATAAATAAATAGATATAAATGTTGTCACAATATTTGGTAGCTCTAGATCTTATCGTGTCTGAGATCTATCACTTTACACGAACGGACGGATGGCGATATCACTTCGACAGATAGTGCTGATCACAGACACACTTGACTAATACTTTACTCGGTACTACCCTGTTTATTTTCCCTGCTCTATTATCTTGGCCGCAACTGTTTAAACGCATGCATTAAAAAGGACAATAATATATTTGTCTTTTCCCGGACGTAAGAAACAAGTATAAATAATACATAAACCTGTCGGACGTCCGTCCGGGACGGTAAATGGAGCAGAGGCTGCATAAGCTGTAGTCCTTTTGTAAGCTCCTGCGGTCGAGTCGGCTTTTGTTTGCGGCTTTTTGACCAAACAAGTGCACCATCAACACAAATACAAAACAAACAATATACTTTTATATTCAAAGCGCATTCAGCAGCAACAAAACCGAGTCATAGAGACACAAAGGCCAGTCATAGCCCTCTCTTTGAACTGCGATTTCTAAGAGAACCAAAACCCCATTGATCCATTCACAATCCCTAGAGCTGAAACAGAATGGATCTGACAAATTTAAGGTTTTCCAAACAAATGTCTCTTCAAAACTCAAAGGCAATTCACTTTGTTAAAGCTCAGTACAATATTTCAAATATTAAATGTATGCTTGTATATATAGCTAATGGAATCGTAATCTAAAAGGGATTTCTGATCCATTCGAATGTTATTTCCAACTCTCAAAGGTTAAGAATATGTTTCAGTGTTTTAGAAGTTCTGAAATGCTTCTTTCCAGATATCACAATTACTTTCGGTTTGCATTTGAAAATATACAAATGTTGGTAAACTTTAAACTATGCAAGGAATAAGTTCTTTGTAATGTCTATCTAAGATTTCATTTCTGGAATTTGATTTTCATTCCTCGGTAGGACTCGTACGTGAATTCCAAGAGAGTATAAATTTGTTGTAAATAAATCAAGAGATGAACAACAACCAAAAAAAACATGTGTATGCCCTAAGCACTGTCTCCTTGCCGCCTCTCACAAATAAATGATTGTTTCCCCGATTTGCTTTCATATAAAACATTTTATTTATAATGATGACTTCCGCCGCTCTATCCGTTGCGGCCACATATAGTGTTCGCTCAACCCCCTGTAATCGCACAGAGTCGCAGAAAATACGCAAATATTGACTCGGAACACTTACAAATAGCTTCCGCAAATTTCGCTTCAATAGATATGTAGCTCGCTCGGCCCTCTCCTTTCAGGCCTTGGGCTCACAATTTCCCTTACATGTAAATATCAATATTTATAGACCCACACGGACGCAGAGACGACGCATACAATAAAACTTTAAAATATTACACCACACACTACTGCATTATTATTTCCAAATCCTATGGCAAATGTCTATGCGGCAATCGGAAACGGTAATAATTATAATAATAATAATAACACCTATTATCAAGTGGATCGGAGACAATAAATTGTTAAAACAACAGAAATGTAAGTGTAACTGGAAATAGGGCCAGGTTAGATTAGAGTAGCTACGGAAGGAACTCCTTTTTGACTTCGATTGATTTTGTATAGCTAATAATAAAGGTCCAAATCGCATTAGTTGGCTGCATTGTGGTGTGTAAATAATATATGAAACCGTCTTTGTGTAGGAGTTAGCATTTTTAAGTTGGCTCATATCTTTGAGCCCTAGACATTCCGTATTTGCCCCTTAAGGTATTCCGTTTCAATTTGCAAAGTAGCCAGTAGTTCATGGTGCACGTCTCTCGGCAGATTGTTTTTAAAGCTCTCGCGGTCACAATTGGTTTGAGACTCGACCCCAAATTCATTTTTAATGCCAGCAGCACGTGTGCCTCGAGCAGCCGCATTAGGGTTACTGCCTACTGCCGATGGCTCGTACATAATGCCCAATACCTGTAATCAATAGAATTGAAGGAATTGTGTACGGGTACGGACGTCTATTGAAGACCCATTATAGGGACGGACTGACTGGAGTTTTTATGTGCTTTTTTTATCGGAAACCTAAAAAAATGTACGTATCAACTCCGCCCTTAGGCATTACGAGACACCTTACCTGATCAAGAAAGATTAAGCTTTTCATCTAACCGGAATTAATTGATACGTAAATCAAATATGCTTTTCGAATTCAGATATGTGTATACATAATTATGTTATTTTCTTGTTTAATATTTCTACAACAGTTACAACAGGAAATGAAGCTAACTTCGCACCATGAAGTTTGTATACCCATACAATATAAATTATATATATTTATCTTAAAACCCGATGAAGTAATGCCTACTTTCATATTATTAACATATTATATTTACGGTGTGACATTCATAAAATTAAAACCGAAATTCCATCTATCTAGTTTGCTTAGAAACGGACAGACGGACATACATAGCTAACAAACTTCTGACTAAAATTATAAAAATAATACGATCTTGATTTAAATTCAATTTGGGGTATTAGTTTCAAAGATGGAACCTTGAAACAATGCTTTCAAGATTTCCCAACATTCGTTAAATTTTGGATTACGTTTGCGAAGCTTTGTTAACAAATTGAATAATTGAAAAAACTTGTTTAATATGCATTTTTACAGGCAGTTGAATTCCCTATATTTTGAAAAATGTCAACGAAACGAAAATCGCTCCCAAATAAAGTTGACATCGACCACAATAAAAGCACAAGAAGAAAAGCAGGCCACACGGCACCCTTCGTTCGTAAAAGGCATAATATGTTATCGATAAGTAAAATAAATGCCGCGAATGTTAGCCCAATTAGTAATAATGGTGAGGTGGATGATATAAAGGATTGTGTGATTATAGTTTCTGGAAGTCATTTCGATAAAACATACGTGGACTTGGACATGGACTCCAGAAGCCCATCGCGGGAGTCCGGCTCGAGCTCAAGCGATTTGGATATGAGTACTGATAATATTGTAGTGGGCAATAGTAGGCGCAAGGAGAAGGTCGGAAAGAACCGAAGGAAGAAATCAAGTGCAGCTATAAGGAATCAGGAAAATCTATTAAAAGCAGATGAAAATACTGATGAATCCTGGGATACGAGTGAAAGGACAGATAAGAAATGGATAAAGCTTGAGAGTGACCTTAAGTGTTGCGATATAGAGGTTGTCACTGAACACCAGCAGCTATTTTCTAAGCCCAATCTGCAAAATAATACGGCAGACTCGAGCAGCTTGGATCCAATTCCTATTAATCTGGACGCAGACCCATTAACCATCTACGGGAGCTCCACAAATGCCACGGAATATACCACCGTTCAGGAAGCAAGCTATCTGCAAAGGTATGTATGATTTAAAAGCCAGCATTCAATTTTTTTGAAACTAGAGCTCACTAAGCAGTGCCCCGATAGAGCTGTAAAAGTACCGATAGCAAAAATGAAATCTTACTTCGGGATTTTGTAAAATGAATCGATATCAAAATCGATCTAGACATGTTCATCTGTCCGTTAACTAGTCTGTCAGATTTTTAAGTATTTGAATAAATCTTTGCAGATATACCTGTGCTTGTCAATGTGTGTATAACTTATATTACATTATGTATTTTATAATATATTTTTATCAAATTAATAATACATTTTCATACATCTGGTAGTTTTTGAATGTGAGACTGTAAATATAATATCTAAAGGTGAATGAATTGAGAACAGGATTACTTCATTGTTTGTTAACATAAATATATATCATTTATATTGTATTACTTCCTGAATATCGAAGTTCTTTCTGCAAGGGTATATTCGGCCAGCCGTAGTTAGCTTTCTTTCTTGTTTAAATTAAAATCAGTCTTTCTTTTTTTTGAATTTAAGAGATTTTACCTTAATGGTTACAATGTGTTCCTCAATTGTAATGAGGTAATATATAGTAAAAATAATTTCACATCAAAATAAAAACCAATAATTAAAAGCTCTGCACTTGGTTTGCAACCTCAACAAACGAGACACAATCTTATCCATACATAGATTCAAATCAATTACATTTGAAAGTCCGAATACATTCGTGAATACCAAAAACTATCTTGTAAATGGTTACAAGTTTTATTACATTTCTCTTTTTATTTACCAACCAATGTAATATATGTCCATTAAAAGGGTCTGCATGCCGGCTACCGAAAGTTTAATTACCGAAAGCGATTTCCGAATTTCCGGAAGGTTTATGATATAGTATTTGTATTTTCGAACTTTCGTTTAGATCCTGTACAATTCACTCCATCGTTTCCTTTTTCATTCATTTATGGGAGCAATAAAAAAGTACAAATAATTCGTTTGAGTGAGTTCCTATTTACCCCATCCCCGTATTGACCTCGAGAGCGATAAATCAGCAACCTTAAGAAATAATTCATTTCATTTTAGTTTACTTACTACGCCACTTGTCTTAAAATATTATTTAGTTTATTTTCTATTAATTAATTATATTATTTATCTTCAATTAACAGAGAAATATGTAGGCCGCCTTCTTGTGGAGAAAATCAAACACATGCCAAGGAATACACCGATTTGGAGATGATTAAGAATTTTCAGTTTATACGAAGTCGTTTACTTGGTCAGGTGAGTTTCTTAATAGCGAAAGGGACCGGATCCTTCGCCAGAATATAATGGCGATGTCATCTAATTTAACAACTAATTAATTTGCATTTACGTAGAGTTTTAAGCGAGCCACTGCAGATCCATAGTTCTTTTTATTACCTTCAACATATCGAACGAATTGGCATTAGTCATGTACTCACAGGACAGGTTTAAAAGGCGATGCTGGATTTATCAAAGGATTTGTAGAATTTTGTGCAGCCTAAAAGCTTTTTCTTTTGATAATAATACATACAATGTTTACTTTATTTTTGCATTATATTTGGATTCTTAGAAACAAGTTTTTTATTATTATTCATTCTTGTTGCTTTTGTGTAGCCAGTACCAGCTTTCTTTCGGTTTTTCATTCTAAGCATTTGAATAGCAGGTTGAATCGCCGTCTTTGTACCGCCATTCAAAGGAACACTAACAATGAGCTTTTCTTTTATTTTCCTTTTCTTCTTTTCTTTTCACAAGAGTCCCATACATTTTCACTTTGCCCTGGGGTTTCCCTTAGACAAGGCACACCCTTACCTGTAGTCCTTGTAAGTAGTTGTAATCTCTTCCGATAATTGATGTAAATTTATTTATATATATTATTTATATAATGTTATCATGTACATATTACTGGCATTGTTTATATTTCTTTGATCAACGAATGATATTTATGAATGTATGTATGTTTCTCACCCAGCCAGACATCAAGAGCTGTTAAAGAATCGATGACACTATTAATACTTTTGATCGAAGGATCGAAGGGGGCACTATCAATAAATACACTCTCGTTTCCATGGCTCTACAGGACACCTGGGAGCCCTCGTACTCTGGTACTGCTTGGTAGTGTTATAATGATGAAATTTCGGTTGTCAGCATCAGGCTCCGCTCGTTAAAATTTTGAGCCCATCCAAACACGACCTAATTTAAAGGGTTATATCCACTTGCCCATTGGCTTCAATTTGAATTGTTGTCACCACCAAAACTAAGAGATACATATGTATGTATGTATATTCTTGGTATTCAGTAAACGTGAGCATATTCCAGTGGAGGCTGAAGTTGCGATGATGAATATGGAACTTTCAGGTTTAGGAACACCCAGCTTAACTCAAATAATCGGCTTGGAATCACACGCTAATGTGATGTTTATCTACCAGAAATACTCTAGCTAACCTAAGAATGGGGGATGATTGACGATGTTGTTAAAGATCTAAATGAAATCTGCATTTTCTGCTTCTAGGGTAGTTTCCATCAATAAAAAAAGGCAATCACAGCTCTCCGCCGCAATGTAGATATAGATACAGATACTATCTCTCTATCGTGCTTTGAGAAGTTCAAAAGGTTTCGTCATTAAATGCATATTTTTCACACATATATAGAAAAGTACGGTATCATGCTAATTAACTGCTTCTGTATTCATGTATACATTCGGGAATACATACATACGTATATATATATATGTATAGTGTACAAATACATGACAATTAATTCGAAGATTAAAGAAACTATATGTATACATATATAGATAATTCATAGGAAATAAATAGACCTCCTGAAGGATTATAATGTGCCCTATGTATCGTATAAAGTGTATATATGTACGTACATATAACACCAAGGAAGAAGCTGAGGTAAACGGCCTAAATGCCTACCTTTCCTGCCAAGTAAGTATTGGAGCCTCTTGAATAGGGTTTGATGTCCATGCTGTTGATGGTACATACATGTGTCAAAGTTCACTTTGCTAAGCTAATGACTCCTGAAAATGGCAAATAACAAATCTGTGGTAAAGTGCGTGTGCTTGTTCTACGCAATTAACTTCAACAAGGTGCGGAGTGTCCAGCAACGAGGGCAGTTTGTTGGCAGTGTTAACATTATATTTTCGACAAATTCAGCCGCTGAAATGTCGGGGTTAGTGTTATGTCCCACTGCATCTTATGACAAATGCTATTTTTAATGCAAATAGCAAAATAGGAGAAGTAGAGCGCTCCCTTCAAGTTGCTATTACTTCGAAAATAATATGAACTGGGAAAGGGTAACAGTGGTGAGACTTACATATATCCAACCCGATAGAATATATACAGATTTTTAGTCGTGCTTCTCTCTCTCTCTCTCTCTCTTAACTTGTAAAGAAATGTATCAATATATTTCGAAAACGTATCATAAATATATATACATATGTACATACATATTTCGATTCTCTATCACAGTCTCAATCTACGAACCGATTCACGTTGTTGTGGGCGGCGTGAGGGTGCCGAGAACATCACATTTTCCAGATAAATTGATCAGCCAGTTCATATTTTATATAGATGACAACACCAAAATACCGAATGCTCATCCATAAATGTCATAAAATTCATAAATATTGTCGTAAAATGTTTCATTGTCTTCTTCGTCGAAGTGATTTAGGTCACAGTATATTTTTTGATTATTGTGTGGGCTTTTTTTGATTTTATTTTATGCATCGATCCATCGGTCACTTATGGTAGCATATATGTACATATACATAGATCTAGATCTAGACTTCTAGATCATTCCTTCGATTGCTTTTGATCATGAGTTTGCAAAATATACTATTCAAGAAATTGTTAATAACAAGGAATATATAAAGTATCGTTTGTTGTTGCTTTTAATATAATAAGTTGCCCTTTCTTGGTTATTATTATATCAATATCAACTCTCCGACCTATTAATATTTAAACGTGCTTTTGTTCAAGTGCTAGAAGTATATACATATACATATGTACATAGATACATATTTCTATGTTTGGTATGTTTAATGTGGCGGCGCAACCAAAGAAAACCAAAAAAAGAGGAAAAATATGCACGATCGGTGTGTTGGTTGATACAATTCTTCGCCTTCTTTTCTGTTTTACTGTCGTATGAATTTGCTTCTTCTCTGTTTTCATTCATAAATTTCTGATTTTTAAAAATAGAACTACTGGGTGCTTCCTTCCTTTTTCTCGTTCCCTCGCAAAATAGAACCATCTCCCTAATACGGTGTCTATCCACAGATACTTCTCTATCCCTCAATGCATTTGCAGTTCTTTTTGTGTGTTGTGTCAAAGCTACTGCAACGACGCAAGGTTAGGTCTATTAGGAATATTAGAATATTTTTATTTGCAGATATACTTCCGGTGTGTAAAATATCTGATATTCGATTCCTTATGCTTTAGAATGTTTCAGCTTCAACGGATACCCATGTGGGGTCAAGGTTCAAGTAAAATGCGACTTACGTCTTATTAATTAATTAATTATTTTTTGTATTATTTTATTAGGGTATAGCTAATCTACTCTAGGGAGATTTGCTATAATTTTATATTACTAGCTTAAGGCCATTAGCTTATGGTTGGAAAAAGTTAGATCCAATTGGAATCGTTTTTTTTTTTTAATTTTTTAATTTATAGAAATAAAGCGAATTGCATTTTTTTTTATAAAAAATGTGCGTTTCGGGATAAATATAACAAAACAATAATAAATGTGACACTTTGTTCTTATCTATTCCACGAGTCAAGAAAGGGTTGGAACTTATTCGATTAAATCAATTCTCAAAATTCATATCAATGTATTGGATAATTTGAAACAAAAACAAGGCTGATTTATCGATTCTAAAATCGATTTTATATCGATTTGAACACGTTTTTGTTAGATTTCTACTGGTTTTTCTGGCTATGGAACCTCTTTTACCATCAAATCAAACACAAATTTAAAAACTTAGTGTTGGCTATTACATTTGTTAATATCTTCTCAATGAATATTTTTCTGATTTACTTAGTGCTAATACAAATAAATAATAAGCTTAAGTAATATTCATGTGGTGGCATAAGTATTTTGACAAGTATATTTTAGTATGGATAGCAAAGTTTTAACTTAAAAAAAAGGAAAAAAAGAATTTAGTAAAACATATAATACCCTTTGGTTTCAATAACTTTTTGCAGTCATCGCGGTACTGAATCGTTTATATTTTGGATGATTTCTGTATGATTTCTCTTTCCAAATTTTTCCCTATGATTTTATTTGAGGCTTGGGGCGTTATCCTGTTGCAGAGTAATGAATAAGCCTGTCTCCAGAACTAAATGCATTATCATGTAGAACCCTCAAATATTGGCTTTGGTTCATAGATCCAGTGATAGGAACGCAGTTATCCAGTCCCATTATACGCCACACATCCCCAGAACACACAGCGTCTCCACCATGGCTTACTTTTTGGAAAATTGGCCACCTCTTCTGCTTTTCTCCCAGTGGAAATTTTAGAACAAATTTATTTTTTGATTAACTATGGTATACTCAAAGGAGCTTTCATCTGTCTATAGAACTCTCCTCCAGAACTTCTTTGGCTTATAAGGAAAGTTATTTCGCAGTAGTCATTTTAACAAGTTTTGTTTATATTTTGGATGACCCACAGCTATTTGATCAGTTGTTATCGGGGAAAGCTCTTAAGCATTTAGCTTTTTTAAAGCACACGGAAAATGCAGAGTGGAAGAAAATTTCAATATCTGTATAGTTTTAATTTGAATTTTCGTTTTCTAAAATGTCCAGTGCGCATCTACTGCAATTTGAAAAATTTTAAATTGTCCTTAATATTTCCAAAATCTTGAAACCATTTTTAAGGGAAATCAGTGCACAAACGTTTAAAATTTATTGCATTGCATTTTTTGTCCCCTGCGAATCACTTGAATTTTGCTCCTTTTTTCACTTTTTTCCATTTTGACATGGGCGAAATGGTTCGATTTTGTTTTTAGCTTCTACGGTTTTCACTCAATCATGCTATCGTAATGAAAAGGGTTGCCACATTTTTCACAGTTCACAGTTTTTATTCCAGTGCACATTGGGCCAGGAACCCCGTTTGCGTGGCCAAAATTAATAACGTCTAGAAAAATAGAAAATTTATAACAGCTCATAACTATTCTTATAGTTTTTGGGTCGCTGATTTCAAATTTGAAGTGGGTTTTGCAAAATTCAAAATGGCGGATCCAATATGGCGGACGAAA